CCTGTGGGGCCGGCGAGCTGGGGCGCCGGCAGAAAGCCTGTCTGTCTGTCCAGGGAGGAGCGTGGCTCTGCTGCACTCCCAAAGGTGCCCCCGTGTGTCCTTCCCAGTCGATGGAGCCCGTTACGAGCAGTGCCTTTGAAAGGCAGCGTGGAGGCACTGGAACAGGTTGCCCAGAGAGGTGGTGGATGCTCCATCCCTGGAGAGTGGGGCCGGCGAGCTGGGGCGCCGGCAGAAAGCCTGTCTGTCTGTCCAGGGAGGAGCGTGGCTCTGCTGCACTCCCAAAGGTGCCCCCGTGTGTCCTTCCCAGTCGATGGAGCCCGTTACGAGCAGTGCCTTTGAAAGGCAGCGTGGAGGCACTGGAACAGGTTGCCCAGAGAGGTGGTGGATGCTCCATCCCTGGAGACGTTCAAGGCCAGGTTGGACAAGGCCCTGAGCAACCTGATCTAGTTGGAGATGTCCCTGTTCCTTGCAGGGGGGTTGGACTAGATGACCTTTGAAGATCCCTTCCAGCCCTAACCATTCTATGATTCTGTCAGAGCGCCGGTGAGCTTCACGTTGGCTGTGCACAGGCAGCACCAGAGCAGGATTATTCAGCAGGTGGGACGACGTGGGTTGTGCAGCACAGAGCTGCATCCAAAGCTGCGTCCTCCTTCACCTCTCTTCTCCCAGTGGATCTGCAGGAGCTGCTCTTTTTTGGTTTTTAACTGGTTTGCATGATGCACAGCGTAGTAGGGCGCACGCTGCACGGCCAGTGAGTAATTGTGTGGTTTGGTTGTGGTGACCGGGAAACACCACCGCTTCACGGTCTCTTTCTGCCAGCAGCGTGGCTCCCAGTCTGGGCTGGTGCGACCGTAGGACAGTTTTTTATCTCCTAATTTTTATGTGTACAGCACATGGCAACGTACCCCAGAGTTTCAGAATAATACGAAGCAGCTCTGATAAAATATGCTATTATTTTGCAGGGGTCTAAAGGCTGTAGGATATATACACTAGTATAAAATTATCTCAGTAGGAAATAAATGGATAGTCTTTTATTTACTGTACAGTGAGTATATTGGGCTGAAATCAAACATTGGTATCTCTTAAGTTACACGCTAACAGACTGGCTCATAGTTTTATTTTCAGTGTTCGTTATTACATAGCTGATAACACAGTAATGAAAAGTGCAGTTAATTAATATTGTATTTAAGAGTAATATTTTATTTCCTGTAAAATTTGTGTGTTTGTTTTTCATTCGCGTGGATGAAGAACCAGAGACGTTAAAGAAATTATTCTCATTTACACAACTTTCAGCCTTTTTTTTTTAAGTAATCTCTCTCTGTGTTTTTGCCCAGTATTTCAGACAGACTTGTTCCTCGCTTCCAAACAGCTCAGTCATTTCCTCAGGAATACAAAAACACGTAGTGTTGCGTGCTGTCTGGCTTAAACAGATACGAAACAGAGAAGAGTTGCATTAACTCTGTAGTTGGTTTTTCCTCTAAAAATCAGTTTGGAAGAAAAATCCAAATGCCTTGAGTAACCACTTCATTTAGACACTAAAGATAAACACTCCAGAGTAAGTTTTATGTGGCAGTTACGCTGGTAGC